TTTTAATAACAGCTAAAGGTGACATAGATACTTTATTATGGTATAGTATTTAAATATATGCCCAAGAAACAAATAATGATGGCCCTTTAAGTTAAAAGATGTAGTTCAGAAATTAAAAAGAGCAAAATGAATACTAAAGGGTTCAAAACAAAGGTTAAAGGTGCAACAAACAGAGTTGTAAAGTAACTCAGTACAAATACTTTGTTACTGTACTTAAGTAGAAATTTTGGTTATCTGTACTTTACTTGAGTAATTATTTGTCAGCGTACTTTTTACTTTTACTCATTACATTTTTACACAATGATCTGTACTTTCTACTCACTACATTTTTTAAAAAGGTAAGAAGTAGAAAGTCGTTACTCCTATTTTATTCTGAGTTATTACTTAAAAAATACTATCCTGATAAATTGTGTCTCCTGGATAGAGTGAATTTAATTGTGGTTGGATGAGAAGTATAAATATATACCATTCTGACACACTATTGGCTTGTACACAACCATCACAGCTGCATGCTGTTAGAAAAAATATTTTTTGGAGAAGTCACCTCCCAATAAATGTCATTTTGGAAAATCTAACTGTTCACTTTTACTCAGTACTTTTAACACTTAAGTAGATTTTGTGTCAGAAATTTACTTTTGATACTTAAGTACAAAAAATATCAGATACTTTAAGACTTTTAGTCAAGTAATATTTTTAGAGAAGACTTTAATTTTTACCAAAGTAGTTTAATGGTAAGATACTTGTACTTTTACTCAAGTATCACTTTGAGGTACTTTATACAACACTGGCAACACAAAAGATAAAAGAAGCAGAATACAGACCACAAAGAGCAAATTAGAAGCAAAAAGTGGCCAAACTGAGGCTAAAAAAGCAAATGGAATTTAAAGTGGTACAACAGTAGCTAAAAGGCTCAAAACAGCTAAAAGTTAAAATCAGCACAGTAGCTAAATTTAACATCCCTACAAATTCAGCTGCAAGTTTAAAACAGCAAAACAGTGGCTAAAAGTTAAAATGAGCAAAACAGTCTTTAAATGTTTAAGAAGGTAAACTAAGGTAAACTAGTGATTCCTTGATAGTTGCTACACACTCTCCAGTGTCCTTTTTTTAAAAATCACAACTTTTACCCAGGTCTGACATTCCACAGATGTTGTCCTGATCCTCCATGTGACAATGAAAAGCTGCATCAACCATAGCAGCTACACGATGCCCAAAGCCTTCAGTGTCTCAGGACAGTTTCCTTCAGTCCTGGCACGTTACCACTGAGGAGCTTTCTGACTACCTCTGCTATAATAATGAACTGTAGTCAGGAGGCAGAGATCATCAAACTGCAACTTTCACCACTCAACAGTGTTCTCAAACCAGGTCAGTAGTTCCCAACCAAACCAAGAGCAACCTGGGACTTGGTCTGCATTACATGATTTCAGCAGAAATATATAACACCATGGCTGCATCAGAATTGCTACAACTAGATGCTGCTGCTGCCATTTGTATTTCAAAACGATGACAGAAATCAATAATAACCAAGTAATGCAAAACTGATTGAAATGTAATCTTTATATGTGGCGCAATTCAACTTTTGAGACTGGAACTGTTTGAAGATGGCAGTAATCTACACTGGTCTTCGCTGTGTTAGCTGTTTCCTCATCCGTTCTGTCAAATAAACTCTTTATTTCCAAACTGGGCTTGTTCAAAGAACTATCCAGAGCCAGCTCTTGGCATAGGCGAACTAGTCGGTCGCGTAGAGCTCCATCTGCTGGAGGGGGCGCCGAACTGCAGAAGAAAAAGTAATTATTTGTAAACCCTGGTTGTAACCCTGCTCAGCGCCCCTTTCAATTAGCTTTGTCTTAAAAAACTATATTGAAGTATTACAGGAAAAATAAACTACTCATAAAACCCATAAAACATTTTCTCCCCCCCAATGCAGCAAACGCCCCCACCCTCTCTCTCATTTGATTGACGTTGCACTGACTCGTCCAGTTCCGACACTCTGACGGGGGAGGGGCTAGTAGTGCCTCTCAGGTAGCGGTTCGTGTTGACAAACTCAATAACAACAAGTCTGTATTTTGTTGTCCCATACATGTCAACCTCTTTGGACGTTTACCTGGATAAAAAGACTCAAAATCCATACATTTTGCTAAAAATCCATACAACTCGCCTCGCCAACTCGCCAACTAGCCTCGCTGAGGACATGAAAGCGCCCACTGCAGGAGGAAAGGAGAGCAGAAAAAGTTCAAAACTTATTTCTACCAGCAGAACAGTTGGAAGATGGTTATTTAATGTTTTTTTATTGTTTTTTAAATCATTCTACAGGCTCTGACAAGTTAGATAAATTTGAAAATGAGGTTTTGAAAATTCCGTAAGACTTGAAAAATTCCATGAGATTGCTCTATACGTCTGTATACCTGCAAAATGACGTAAAATCCTTATAACTTACAGACGATCCGTACAAGTTGACATGTATGTTGTTATTTATTTTCTTTCTGGGAAAGCAAATAAATCTAAGTTTACCATAGTACCTTACACTGTCAAACTTGTTTTTAGGGGTTCAAATTGAGGTGGGTGGGACACAGTTCGGGCGGTGGGTGGGGCTTCAACTCGCCTAGGGCACCAAAATGTCTAGAGCCAGCACTGGAACTATCTACAACAGATTGTTCCACAAACCCCCCTTTAAAATATCTGAACTATCTATTTAAATCATTCAGCATGGTTTAAAAACTACTCAGTCTGAGGACCTCTGACTTCCCTGCGTTTTGCATCAGGGAGTAACATCAGTCCCAGTATTTTATATTAGGATCCTTAAAAGTCCTAAAACTCACTTGTGGCCAATTTCGTGCGCGATGGTGAAAGCAGAGCCAAGGCCGATGTCTTCATTAATGCTGCAGCTTCTCTCTGGCTCGCACATACCAGCTACTGAGGCCAAGCCTAGAACACACACACACCAGACAAACACACAAACACAGGGTCAAGGAGCAGCATTCTGGGGAGACATGATCATAAAAACATGGATTCCGCGTGGATGATCTTGTTTACAGCAGTCGCTGGTGTAGAGTCAGCAGGGGGGTTTGAGTTGTGCATCACAAACCTTTTGCAAACTGTAAAGGACTCCTGGGAAATGTCTAGACAGGGGTTTGATTTAAACATTTGAAATGATGTAATGAGGGAACACCTACAACGTGAGCCAAGAAAAGGAATATAAGAACCCCTCACCAACACTGTGCCCCAGCAGAAACCTGTCAGAGCGTATCTATGGTTTTCTCATTTTGGAACCTGAGTTAAGGAGGAGAGAAAGAGTTTAAATGAAAACTTCTCCACAATCCAGGTGTCTCAGGTTCTTTTGTTTCCAAAGCCTGACAGGTCAGATGAGGAGGCTGTTGGCAGTTCTTCACAGATTATATCTACCAACACAAGAGGGATTGTATAACAACACAGAGCAGATATGTGTGTTTCTTTGAGAGTGTTTAAATTATTTCAAGAGTCAGTTCTGTTCTCTTGAGACAATAATAGACACAGTATGTTTTCTTTTTTAATGGAGATAATGATGCAAATTATGTTTCCATTATAACTGTGTAAATGCTGACTCACCTCTAATTTACACTACATGCGTTCCGGCTCTGCTCCGCTCCGGTCCGACCTCTGCAGCAAATACACACCCATTATAATCAATGAGAGTGTTTATACTGGCTGCGCAGGGCGGCAGTGAGCGGACGGTGATCTGTCAAAATTAGAACAGATCCTATTTTTGCCGGATGCCAGAGCAGCGCCGGAGTCAATTTTTAAAGATTACGTCACACCAACAGGAAAAGAAATGAGCACAACATCCGTATTTTCAAAATAAGACACTATTAAGCTGGATAATTTGTCGGAATAATGTCGAAATCCCAGCTATATTAATAAATATATAGATATATTTCTACACAAATGCTGTCAGAATGTATTGTTCTGTTTAGGAAGCAGATGGAAACATGTAGCATGAAGCTATGTATACAAAAACGATACATGCGGATTTTATTGTGAAATCAGAAGTTTCAGAAAGACGACAGTTTCAACATAGATATCAAAAGCCTTTAAATCAATGTTTTCAGCTGTGTTTGGAGTTCGTCTTTCACGGAATTAATTATTTTTTGCTCTGACTTCCACATTTATAACTGGATTTATTGTGTGATCTCCTTCCTGCACACTCTGTTGGAACGGAGCGGAGCGGAAGCTGTATAAATTGAGACACAAATGAACAGCTGCGACCTGCGCACCGCAGTGCTGCGGAGACGCACGAAGTGTAAATCCGGGGTCAGCATCTGTACATCAATTAAAATACAATTTCTAATAAAAATACATTAAGACTTTTTCAATTCCTACAGAAACTTTGATCCCAATGAAATTTGTTTTAGCATACTCTATTTTGTCTCATTAAGCTACTTTCATCTTTTTGATACCATTTTGTTATTTTTAGCTTTTACCGACATTCTGCCACTTTGAGCTTAGAGCTATAATTGTCCAAATACCAGTAATTTATTATTTATTTATTTACCGTTATTTAGTACTATCTTTTAG